AGAAAGTAGAAAGTAGAAAGTAGAAATAGAAGTAGTAGTAGTAGTAGTAGTAGTAGTAGTGGCAGGCGTAGTGGCAGGCAGTAGTGGTTGCGGTAGCAGCAATTGTTGTCAGTATGCATCGTAGTACGGTGGTGGTAGTAGTCGTACAAGTAGCATCAGAAGTAATGCGAGCAGGAGGATAGGACCTGATGGGAGCAGCAAATATGCTTGACTACCTTTGCCGAGGTAGACATGGCGACACACACACACACACACGCACACATGCTGGGTCCCCCACTTGCCCTGCATACGGAATTGTGTGGGCGCAAGTCTGGACAGATTCGTGCTCATGATGTACATTCTGTATTGTTTTTGAACTAGATAAGCTGCACCACGCTAAGTAACCTGAATCCCCAGACACCCGAAAACGGTGGGAGGCCGATCCTTGATCTTTGATTGCGGCGGCATACCAACGTTGCTGGAGGCGTGGCTTCGTTAGGTGCTATTCGAGGAACTAACTTGTAGAGTAGACATTCGAAATCTAAACGAAACGTTTGAGCAGGGTCCGCTGTCAGACTGCGGGCTCGCGGGGTTAAACGAACCTTATGGAAAGATCGCTCTTCAGGCGATGCGGCGCTGTTCCGCCTCCGCAGACGTGCAAGAGAGCTGCTGCAAGATCCTCAAGGAGGGGGCCAGGCTGTAGATTCGATTATTTTGGGTTGAACTCATGGATGATCGACGGCCCTGATCATGACCTTTCAAGCTTCGTTGCAGGAGCTGGCAGCCATGAACGCTGCTTGGCAGAGCATTCGACTGACTGGGTTCTAGCAGGGGTGAAAAGGTTCTGTTCAGCAGTTGTGGGCAGCTGCTTCAGCATATGGTAGCAGAGGCGCAAATGCGCGAGCACCTCCTCAAGGCCGTGTCCTTCATTTTGTTCCTAGTGCTCGCTGAAAAATCCCCTGCACCACTTCATCTTGCTGTCTGTTTTGGAGGAGTCAGCGCTGGAGATGGTAATCAACGCCATGAAGAACCACGTGCAGCATGGGAGAGTACAGGTGGGCAGCATCTGAATTCGGATCTCTTTCGGGAGTGCCGGCCATGCCAAGCTTATGCTCTTTTTTTCCCGCTGTTGCAGATCGCGGCCTGCGGGGTTCTGCGGAACTCGAGCGCAACAAGCGATGCTTGCCAATCACACCTTGCCACTCGGACAAGCCTTTCGCTTCCTACGGGAATGACACCACAATTTGTCTAGCTGCAGCTTACTTGTTACTGTATAACAGGGGTAGTGAGTGACTCTTGTTCAGCAAGCAGATGGAGGCATGCTGCAGTCTCTGCGACACATCAGTCCAACCTGCAACTTACATCGCTGCTCCCAGCCCCGTAGCGTCCATCGTCTTGAAACGCGCTAGATTCTCGAACCAGTCGTTGTATCGACCGCCTCAACCGAACTTGCTTGTCTACGTCTTATGTGCATTTTCTAGCCTCCTGTGCTGGAAAGTGTTTCAAGTCGAGGCTGCCCTGGGCGCTGGTCAGAGAGTGCTGCAAGCCATGGCACAACATACGAAGGACCCACGGGATGGCAAAAACACTTCTATGCAGTCTAGACACATCCAGACCCACAGTTTCCCATAGTGCTACACGCAGGATGCTGCATTGCAATGTGCATGCTGCTGGGCTCTCTTTTGCCTCTCGGTGAGAAAGCCGACTCTTCAGCAGCTCGGCAGCCTGAGCATGATCTGCTTGGTGCGTGTAGTATGAACTTATGGTCAGAATTGCGAAGAGTTCGGTAAAGCAAAAGTGCATGCTGCGTTTTTCGCTTAGCCAGAGGGTGGACATTTCGGTTGTCGGTCTGAGTCGGGGCATGCAGTTTCCAGGGTTAAATTGCAGTAAAAGACCCGTTGTGTAATTATTCTGCGGATGTCCAACAGAAGCCAAGTCCGAAGGGAGCCTCGTCCTTTGTCCTTGTTCCTGTCCCGGTCCCTACTTGCAGGTTCATCACCGTCCATGTCCAAGCTGGTCGTCCTTTTGTGCCTAGTTCAAGCAGCCTACATCCAATCTCCTCAGCTTGCCGACTCATCCGATGCAACAGGCAAGAATTGGCGCGGCAGGGGGCTTTGCGTGCGACGCTCGCAGCGATGAAGTCACAAAGTGCCGTCGCCAAGGCCCCGGTTGTCGTAATTTTGATGGCGGGCGCGGGTGCAGGGATGATTGTATGATAAAGTGGCTGGGATGCCGTATGAACCCCTGCATGGTGGGCCTGGCCTCCTGGAAGAGTTTTCGGCGCTGTGCCTGCAAGGTCAGGTCCCGTACAGGGATCCCGGGATCCCTGACTCTCAACATAATCCAAGTGATTTCAACTTGTTGTTTCGCCAGCAGTACATCTAGAGCCTTCACGACTTAGCTTCAGCCTGCGTCTTCTTGCAGAACGCCAGCCAGGCCAGCCATGCTTTGATTTCATCTTTTCTAATTTCATCTAGCCTGATCTAACGTTATCTTATAATCGAATCCAAGCGACTCTAACCCAGGCGAACCGAATCCAATCATAGCAAATCTAGTTTGACTATCTATCTACTTATCTACCCATCCACTGCAATCTAGTCTATCATCGAATTCACTCTAGTCTAGTCTTATTTGTCCGAAGAGACCTTACTGTAGCATTCTGGTGCTGGTGGCCACCCACGCAGATTTCGTATCAATGTGGATAGTGACTATGTCTAGTTGGCTGCCGTTATCGCTTTTACACACATGTTCATTGAACGTCCACTTGTTTATGCACAACAATGTCAGTGTTGTTGGTAGGTTTTGCAGTCTGTTACACGAGTTAGTGAGTTCATTGCTTACTGTAATTTAGTGTCAGATAGTGTCACTATACCTGTTGAAATCTTTAGTCTTCGCACTACTGCACCATGGTTCATGCGTATCTGTCAAATCAGCAGGCAATAGAGACAGTTGTAGCAGTACGTGACCCATTATGATACGTGTAGGTTTCGGTAATATTACTGGAAATACAGTCTGCGCATCGCCTTAGGAATCCGATCTCCGTTTCCCTTCTAGCCATGTCTAAACTGCTACATAATCTGTTCTTCTCTGTCGAATTCAAACAAAAAGGGGCTTTAGTATTCCGTTTAGCAATGTTGTTGTCACATCTTTTACCATCACCAGGGTTCCTGTTGCTGTATTTATTGTACTTCATCAACATTAACCGAGGTAACATTATGTACATCCCGATTTCTTATCATTTCGGAATCAAAATTCACTGTGTCAACTACTGTTGTGCTTGGTTATTCTTTCGGAGTACTTCGTACATTGTTCAGAAAGCTTGTTTAACAATAACCAAGCATTATGTATAATGTAAATGTACTACTTGCTGAGTCCTGTGTGTATACATTTTGATAAGAATACACCTACCATTCAGTTCTTGTTGAATGTTCACACCGGTACTTATCAGACCTCTTGGTAGGATGATGGTTAACTAACATATCTGCTTGTTTCTCACCTGTTGACACTGGACTGTTAGTGTTCCAAGTCAAACATAGTACAACATGCCGTGGCTGCGTAACGGGCTTTGCTAGTTTTCCTGTTTACAGGTCCAATCAGGTCCACTTAATGTCGACATGTTTAGTCTGAGTTTAGTACATTTTAGGATTTGTGCTTAATACACGTCCTGTGCGTTTTATTGGTCGGACTAGGGTTTGTGGTCTTGAGTCTTGACAGTTTGTTTTCGAAACCAAATGACGACCATTCATTTGGCCATGACGTATGTCAGAATTCTGGTGCGAATGATAGTCTTTTGATGAAGGGCTTGTTTTATTGTAAGCACATTTAAGGCACATCGAAAATGCATGAACACAACGACTAAAGCCCCCATGCAAACACCAAGCAACATATGATGACAGAAGTAAACACCATATACGTTTGTCCCAGGAGTGTGTGATTAAACCCGCATAAGCATGCTCGTACAGCAATAATCCTGTTATAGTAAAGTTTTGAAGACATTATGTATAGCTCCGTGCGCGTTATGCAGAAAAACACTGAAATGGTGTTCGCAAAAGTAACATCTTCAAGAAGAGATTATTATTTCGGTTCGTGTTGGACAAACTACGAGTTTAATCAAGGATGCAAATACCTTACCGGCCCATTTTGCAAACACACATCGCGTGAGTACAGAAGATGTGTTCAATCACAAATTTCGGGAACGCTGTTTCGAAAAACTTGCATGTAAAAGTGTTCGCACCGGGAATTTGGAGAAACCTCGGGAGCCGGAGCCATAGTTTCCGGAATCATGGAAATTATAAGTTATTGGACATGTTGGCAAAAAACCAACATTTGCCATGAATCCCCGCAAACGAATGATGGAAAAGATTGGTTTTGGGTTTACCAATAATTTCCAACAATTTCCGTGAATTTGGAGAAACCTCGGGAGCCGGAGCCATAGTTTCCGGAATCATGGAAATTGTTGGTAAAACCAATAATTTCCATGATTCCCGACAGACAAATCATTGAAAAGGTTGGTTCTACCGACATTTCCCAACAATTTCCATGCATCTTGAAAAACCATGCGAACAAAAACCATGGTGAGCCCTGAGCTAACAAACATCCAGTCAACCCTAAATTGAGAAGCTTCAAGAGCCAGAAGTATGGTAAACGTCTTTGTTTCAGAGACGCAACAACCAAGGGACGAACACGTATTAGGGACAAGGCGGCCCACAACTTAGGTATCGGGGGGGTACCACATGTATATATATATATGTAGATTATATTTTTTTAATCACTTATTCGTTTACGTGTTTATTCAGAACTTATTCAATTAATATGTTCGACAGCTTGGAAATCCTGAAGAAAAGCAAAGTCGGAGGTCCAGGAGGCCGGCTGCTGGGTTCTGCGGGAGCTGGCCTCCACGGTCCGAAGCGATGTGCTGCTGCCTCTCGGCAAAAAAAGGAGGAGTTCAGCTTGGGCTTTTTTTTGGAAGGCGGGGGTTGGTTTCGGGGTTTACGCTGCAGGGCTTGCGGTTTATGGCTTTTGCGTTCTTTGTAGGGGTTTGGGGTTGGGTGTTCAGGTTTGAAGCTTACAGGAATTTAGCTGCAACTTCAATATTCGTCAGGGCAAGACTAGAGCGAGCGGGAGGGAGATGCGCTGCAAGAGGACTGGGTAGCAGCAGCATGAAACTTCGCCTGTTTCTGGGGTCCTCAAGGAAGAAGCTTGCAACTATTAGGGCTCAGTATTTGCATGACCACCATGCAAGCGGCATCTCAGGTGGATGGAAATGGCGAGAGCCTCAGCAAAGGAGCGAGTGCAGTATTCTGCTCGGACGAAGTCAGGGCAGCTTGGAGCCGAAAGGCTTGCCCGACATCTGATCAATCAGCTGTCAAGGTCCAAGCTCTGTCGGTGGCCATCCACGAACACGATGTGCCGGAGGTGCAGAAGGCTCGGCTTGCTTCCCGAAGTCACAAGAAGTCAGCAACCCACACCCAGCACTGGAGTTAGCAAGAGCAACACGCGAAAGCCGCAAGCACCCCCATTTTGTTCTGCCGTTGGGGCCTTGGCTGCATCGCGCAGCATTCTGTCAGGCAGGGTCGGCTGCTCGCCAGCGCCTTGCCGTCCGCGGTTTCAGGCGAGGGCCTCGCATAGGCATGCGAGATTTGGACACAGCAATTTGCCAACTCTGAGTAATGTCCAGGCATTCGCTTTGCAACAATCGGGGGCCAGCTTGTCTTGGGCAGTTCAGGCTCAGCCAGTTTCAGACGCAGCTGGTGCGGCCTTCCATCGTGAAGCGACGTCGACACTTTGCAAGCTTTTGTGGGCGAGAGATGCACGAGAATGTGTCAGGCAGCCAACACATTCAATTTTGTTTCAAGCCCCGGAAGCCCAAACTGCGCTCTTAGGAATGATCTCACTCTCCTCCATTCCGGAGTGAATGCTGCTTGGTCGCATATATCGCATCTTTGGAAATGAAACTTGAAGGCAGCAACCGAGCTCCGGCCAACATAATAGTGGCTGCCATCTTCGAACCTGAATCCGAGGATCATTAAGGCTGGGGGCAATATCGTTTCTTCCGAAACACTTTTGAGAGTCCCCGGGGTCGAAGCAACACATGGGGTCTGCCCGCACGATGCATCAGAAGAGCCATTACAGGCCGCGAAAATAATAGATCCAATGAGAGCATTGATGGGAAACCTTGAACCCGCCGTGAACATGTAGGACCGAATCGTCACCCTGCAAGGCTGTTTCCGCAGCCTGTCAGCGCTGCGGACCAATGCGCTCGATGCATCCAGATATCTCGGAGGATAATGTGAACAATCATATCTGAGTGCCTTCAGCAACCATTTGGGACAGGGTCACGCCTGTATCGGTCTTCTTCCTTTTCGGCGCCACAGCCGCCAGAAAGCCGATTGTGTACAGACTTGCTCGATCAATGCCAGACTTGGGGAAAAGCTGACCTGTGTAAGTAGCATTTAGGTCCCCTCGGCAGGCAAATATTGGTCGTATCAATGTGAACCGCAAGCCAGCCTGTCCATGAGGAGAATCTCAAAGACTAGTCGTCAGAGTAGAAGTGCGATACTCAGAGTATTCTTAACCGCGATCTGACAGTGGGCGGACAGGCAGCAGCGTCAACAGCTCGCAACATCAACACAATAGTAGTGTGTGAGACATGCATGTATGATAGTTGTTTTCGCTTTTGACTTTTTTGACATAGTAACATTATATTATATAGGTACCAGAAGTAAGCAACATCATCAGGCTCACATGGCGAGATGCAAGAGTAAACTAGGTAGGTAGGCAGTCTTGCGTCTCTGGTTGCGACCTCAAGCAGAACACTCGGGTGAAAGAATCGGCAGGCTGTATTGCAAATCACACCAGAAATTCCCAACCCCCCCCCCCCAGAAACCCCAAAGCGTAAAGTCTTGAGAATCCCAGCAAGTCTCCGCAGGCTGTAGAAGCTGCTCGTGGTTCGCGTCCGGTATCCGTGGCCCGGCTCGGCCCGAGCAGGTCTTGATCCAGAACGGGGCTTCAAGTTTCATACATCGAGTGCTGTGATAACTCCAAATGGATATTATCGTGATCATTGTGACATGATTCTCAGTAATTGAGTCACGAATGATTGGGGATATTATGGTCATGTTTATTGGTACGTTCATAACATCAAGTATCCTAGCGAGAAAGTGGAGGGGTCAGACTTGTTGCTGCTATGAGCTGCGCCGTGAATGGTTTAAGGAGTGTTTTGGGGCCATGTTTCCAGTGATGTGAGTCCCTGACACCTGCGGGTTTTCTGCAGGAAATGGCTCTTTACTGGCAGTATATGGTAGTGGGTATCGTTGGAGGGCAGTCCTCCTCCCGTGACCGCACGCTTCACCTCCTCCTCCTCGTCATGGTTCAAGCAGTATCCTGAGTGGCACTCGCAATTTAATTTCCATTGTTGTTTCGCTTCCTGGCATTGTCGTTTTTGCCTCTATGGCCGGCGCAGTCATCTTTGCCCCGTGCGGCAGGTGAAATGGCATTGCCACTATCCTGCCTCACACAAACAGATAGAAAACGAGAGCTCAGAGGAATTTTGGGGAGATGGGGTTGGCGGGACAGTCAAGACAGCTTGTCGTCGACATTGGTGTCACTTCCTATTTCCTGGCGGCCCGCTTTGCACCAGTAGCCTGCTATCTCTGTCTTGCCTTTGCAAGTTCCAGCATTCGATACGCGTGTAGCCTGGCGACAGGTGTACTGATGAGCATGTTCATGCCGATCCGTGCACAGATGTCAAGAAAGTGTGGACACTCGATTTCCAACTTAAACGAAACTCTCCCATCCTGCTTCTATCCCTTCGTCCCCTCGGTCAGTGACCTTGGTCATGAGCATCGTTCCTCTGGCAGGTTCCAGATTGCTGGCCGTGAAGTTGCTGTGCAGATCCGAAATGACCAGGCCCCCGATAGAACATGCCTGGGTCTGGGGTGTTGGAATCGAGATGAAGGTACAGGCGTCCTTACCTGTGTCGTCTCTTGACTTATGGGGTCACAGCAGTATGTTTGCTCTCTGTGAGTTTTGTGACAGAGAGGAGAAATCCTTTGGACCGCATCCGGTTCCGTGGTAGTTTCTTGCTCTGTGTGTGTGTGTGTTTGTTTGTTTATGTTGTTTCGATTGTTCTCCCTTCGTTATGCTGTTATGCCGTGTTCTTGGCATGCACGAGGTGCTGGTCCAGCAGGGGCAGGTTTTCGTGCCTATGGCCCGGAGCTCGCCCACTTAGGCTGATCACAGACTTGTGCCGGGGCTGCATCGAAATCAAAGCAGCCTGGCAAGAGTGATGATATGAATCATGGAGCTCATCTGAGAATTAGATACTAGGTTCCCGAAGCCAAATGTCTCAGCATGGCAAGGCGAAGTACCTCAGTACCATCGGCCTGCTTGGAGGCGCAGCAACAGCTCGTTGCCAGACTTTTTTCTCTCTCTCGCTCTCTCTCTCTCTCTCGCTCTCTCTCTCTCTCTCTCTCTCTCTGCTCTTTGTTGTCTGTACTTGTCAATGTATACTGTATGCCTGTGCACGTAAATCTGAAGGCATGCCTTTTTCATGAGTTACTGGCTCAAAGTTTAAAGTGAAGCAGGTCTGCCTTCTCTGAAACCCCATACCTCAAAGCACGGAGCATCAAATCGCGCCGACACCCCTGAGGCACAGCGAATGGTAGCGTGACGCCGCGAGGTGGGGTGATGTGTTGGAGATTGCCCTTTGGCACAGATTGAACTCACTGCCCCACAGCTCTGTCGGGAACCCTTCAGCAGCTTCGGTCCTCTCCTAGGGCTCATGCCTGGTTGTGTAGTCATGTGAAGAGCGGTATGGCGTCCCTTAATAGACGCAGCACCGTGGACTCGGTTCCGAAGCTAGCATCTAGAAGGGTGCGGAGAAACCTGCAACACCATGAAGCGAGGTGTCACACTTAATTCCACACCAGGCGGCAGCCCGTACGGCCATGACAGCGATCACGTTGGTGATGTAGAAACTTGCATCCCTGGTGTTCCTACGCAGCTCTGCGGGAGGCTCCGGCAGTGGTGGCGGGACACCCCGAAGTGCTCATCCCAGTTCTTATCATGTAAACCACAAGTGGTATAGCATCGAGAGATCGAGTTGCAGCTTAAATTGTCTCCATCGTATTGTTTCCGAGGCTCTGTTGCGCCTGCCGCCAGCGAAGCGCAAAGCCCCCAAGGCTACCGAAGGGTCCTGTGTGATGACTGCTGAGAGTTGCAAACATGTGCTCGAATGTGGGTGTCTTCGGCACGGATGATTGTTTCAGCATTTTAGCCGCAATCCCCGACCCACTGGCTGTAATTACTTCTTCGCTGCAGTGCCCAAGACCAGAGTAATTTCAAAACCGGGTCAGTGAGAACGGCCCACGAACAAGCTGCCATCCCAGTCTTGCCTGAACTCTCAGAAGCTTAAGCTGACATGCGGTGTGCTGAAATCACATGGGCTGGATATTCGCAATTCATCGGCAGGGAGAAGCACGGGGCGTGTCGTTGCCTTGCACGAAACGGTCTTATTTCTGCTCGACCGACAGAGCGATGCAAAAAGAAGAAGAAGTGCATGCTTCGTGGCAACTTCCATAACCCCCTCCGGCCAACCCATCGGGTGAACTTTTTCTGCCCAGCAAGTTCGGTTCCCAAAACTCTGCACTTTCAGGCGCCACTACACCTCGCAGTTCGACTGGGTCGAGGACGATTTCTGTTGCATTGCATTGGCCAAGATGTACTTAACGGAATAAATTACGTACCTAAGCACCAAGTAAGATATGCATGCTTTAATGAACTTTAATGCAAATACTTGTACGTGTGAACGTACCAATGTACGAACGTATGTAGGTATGTACATGCGCATGTGTGTATGCTTGTTTCTATGTCTGTAGACGGGAATGTATGTATGCACTAGAGTATACACGTTATGGATGGATGGCTGGAGGGAAGGATGGATGGATGTATGTATTATGTATGTATGTATAGGTACGTAGGCATGTAGATATGCATTTACGAACGCGTATGTATGCAGGTGTGCGTATGCAGGTGTATTTAATTCACAGGCTGTTTGTTGTTGATGCAAAGTTGCTCTTAGTAAGAAGATCAGCCTAGACTCTGGAGGACTATGCCGGTGCCAGCGAGCAGCCCGAAGGCTGCAACTCCCAAGGCAACTCCAAAATCTTCCCCCCCGAAAGCCACGCCGCCGAAAGCCGCGGCGCCAGCGAGCCCCAAACCCAAGTCACAGTCCCTGGCAATTCCGAACCTTAAGGCCGCACCCACCAAAGCCAAGGCCGCCAGCCCAAAGTCAGGCTCTCCCATCGCGAAAGTTGGGGCAGTCCCAAAGCCAGGTGCAGTCCCAGCTAAGCCTGGCCCAGCGACCCCACGCTCGGGCCTCACCCCTCGCCCACCAGGCCCCGGCGGCCCGAGCCCAAAGCCAGGCAACCCCCCCGCCGCCAGCCCGCGCACCGCGCTAGCGAAAGCCCTGGCTGCCAAAGCACAACCGAAGCCCGGAGGAGAGGCACTCAGGAAAGGGATTCCCCACTGCCGTCCCTCCGAGGACAATCATGTAAATACTATGAAGCTAGCAACACAGCATAGCATCAGTTGCATATTGAGTGCTGGTCTTTCTACCAATCATGTGATTGGCATCTCGTAGCATGGTTATGCTGATGCAATTATCAGGGTGCCCATCCCCTGGCCTCACGGTGTCCTATCACCGTGCCTGTGGTGGACTCAAGGCTACGGCCTCGCTGCCACACGCTGAGCGCAGCGGCCTTACTCGTTTCTCAACAGCTCCGGCAGTACCAAGTAAGCGTGCGTACTCTTATGTAATGGTAACCACAGCAGCTTAATCTGGCTGAAGATATCAAGATTCGAAAAGAGCGATGATAAAACCATTGAGGAAGATCAAGAGAGTGGGACTAAGAGCCAGAATACTAGCTTTGATTGTGTGTGTGTGTGCCCTTGTGCGTGCGGGCGGGCGGGCGGGCGGGCGGGCGGGCGGGCGTGGGTGTGTGTGGGTGTGTGTGTGTGTGTTGTCCGTTTGTTTGTCTCTCTGTTTGTTTGCTGTTCAGGTAGTTGTTGGATCGAGTTTCAGGTCCCCAGCCGTCGCCAAAGCTCGGCCCAGGCCCCGTGAAGGCAAAGCTCTTAAAGCGGGGGCAGGGGCTTTCAGGAGACTTCCTGAAAAAAAGTCGCAAACAGACATGCGAAAGCAGACGCACACCCTAGTCTGAAACAAAACGCTGCTGATAACTTCGGCTAATTACAGGGTTCAGTGTGTTCTGCAGCTCTTGCATTCATGAGTATCTTATGGGAACGAGGATTCTCTACATGCACACTATAATTTGCGTTGAAAGGAAGCTGCATCTATGCAGCCATCTTCATGGTTCAGGCGTAGTTGGATTCCTTTTCCGACGGTGATACACTAAACCCACACCACAACCTCTCTCATACAGTAGTTGTGACAATTGTTAGAGTGCCCTCCCTGTCGCCGCCATGAGCATGGAGCCCCACACATGGTTGTTCTTGGGAGCGGCCTTGGGGCTGCAGATTGCGTTAGGTGTCAAGCTGGTTTCCGGTACCGCCGCGAGTAAGGATAAGGTCAAGCAGTGGTTGAGTAAATCCCGGAGCTGGCTTGTCGGACTTGTCCGGAGGCAAAGGCATGGTTCCCGCACACAAGACCAAATGTTGTGGAATGAGATCTTGCAGATCCACATTCAGCTATCACAGTGGAGTATGGTCTTTCTGATGTTTGCCGGAGGCGGTTTGATTACCGCGGCACAGCTGTTCTTCTTGTCGGGATCAGACCCAGGGTCTTTCTGGCTGTCCAAGCCGCAATTGTGGACGATTCTGTCGGGCGTTGTCATCGTGTATTTATTCACATTTGTGCCAGTCCGCTACCGGTCCTACACTGTCCATGCTTTCTACATCACGATGAATTGCCTGGCGTTGATCATGCTTCTACCTTCCCACTGTCCCAGGGATCAGCTTCTTCGCACTTCGATGACGGCAGTCATCATCTTCCGGGTGCCATCGATTCTGCTCACGCCTCGAACACTACTGGTGCTAGCCGTGGGCTCCGGATACGTACTGATGTCTTTCATAAGATTTACACTTGAGCCAGTTCCCAGGCCAGGTGGTTGCGCGGTGGACGAGCAGTTCAAGGTGAGAATGGAGCTCTATGCATTGCTAGCTACGACCTTCCTCTCCTTCATGGTGAAGTTAATGGTGAAACGAAAGGTGGAACTGAGCGTAGACGGCAGCAACCTAGCAAAGCAACTCAGTGCTGCATCCTCCTTGCTGAAGCTCACCTGCGATGCCGTAATTGAGCTGGATGACAACCTGCGACTCACGGAGCACTCACCGGAGTTGTCGGCCTTACTTCTGCACCGACCAGGCTTCAGCACGAAAGAGAAGCGGTTAACAGACTTCATGAAGCCAGATGATGCAACCCGTGCCACGCAAATCCTATGTGACGGTCCGTCTTCCTATGAGACCCAGATCTCTGCTCATGCCTTTCACACGCGACTTGTGGATAGCTGCTCAAGTAAGCTCTGCGCAGAGGTCTTCCAGGTGAAGTACACCAAGCATGACGGCAAGGAGTACAGTTTGCTTGGTCTTCGTGACTTCACTGACGTCAAGCCTCTTTCCGGAGGCAATGCCCTGGATGCATTTGATTCAACTGTCAGCACGGAGTTGCCGCTCTCTCCGCTCATGACAGCAACAGACACCACTTTGGCAAATGCAAGTTCTTGCGACGACCGCGACGACCGCGACCTGAAAGCAGACGATGCAAGCAGTGTGAGCGCGGCCAGTTCCAGTGAAGAGTCGCTGAAAGTGAGGCCTCGAACGGTCTACATGGATGTCGACACGGAGGGCATGCTGATCCATGCGGCTTCATCTCCAGTGATGGCACTCTCTGGCTCGTCGCTGGCAGATGTGTTTCCCTCACCACACACGAGACTACTGTTGGAACAACTCCGTCGTGAGGCGGACCTTTTCCGAAGTAGGGGCGAAGAACCGCCGGGCCGCGTCCTCAACTACGAAGACATGCCTGTCATTCTGAACCCCGGCACAGTCGACCGTATTACCGGCACTATGCAGATCACGCAGGCGAGATTCGGCAGGACCCACGTTCTCATGGCATTTTCCCCCCTCCGCCCAAGATCGGAGTCCGAAGGCCGACGCAGATCTCAGAACTCCCAGAGATCTGCACTAGAGAAGCCTGAGAGAGGCTTGTCCCTCTAGGAGCCGTACTAGGTTTGGGGTCAGGGCATTTAGGGTCTAAAGATTATGGGGGAACCCTGACTGCAAGAGCTTGAAACCAGCAGGGCTCCCGGGCAGACCCAGGAAGCCAACAGATTGCCAGAAAAGGCGTTGTGTACACACAGTCTCCCGAACGACTGAGCCACAAAAAGAATCAGCCCTCGCAGGTGTAGATGCACAGCATATCCACAAAGCTTTGCAATGGACTTCCGACTTCGAACTGTCGCCGGAACTAGCTACATATAGTATATGAGTTTCAGACAACAAGCTTGGAATTGAAAATGGTAGAACTTTCTTTTATAAGAACCTCTGCTAGACCGACGAACTGTGTTCAATGAAACCCGAAGTTTTGCCTTCCATACTTGAAAGGGTGTAACAAAAACGAAAAATAGTATGGTATTCCCTTATGGCGCCTAGTTTTGGTTGTACTACAACGTACCTGAACACTGCACTGAATTGCGCCTCTTCTCCGAAAGGCCACGGCCTCCAGTGAGCTCAGTTGTCAGAGTTGGCTCGGGTTTTTCCTGCTGCCCCATTACCTTTCATACCTGCAGGACTCTAGTAGTTTGTGTGCATGCCCTAGTTCCTTACTGTGTCGCTCGTTGTATACATTGCAATCGCTGCGCCCCGTACATCCCAATAACTGGGATTCTGGGGAAGTCCTGCATCTCGCCGACAGAGCTTGAAGCTCCGTCAGCAACAATTATCGCGATTCACGACAAGATATTTGTTCTTGCTCATTGAGATCTCCCTCACGACTGGGAGTTGGTTTCATGAGGAGCCGTGCAAAAAACTGTTCATAGCGGAATAAGAGCCACAATCCAAGAAAGGGCCCTACTTGCGCATTTAGCTCACCTGCTCCCTCAGACAATTTAACGGCTGTGCCGAAGGTGATGGAACGACTGCATCAGGGAAAAGGATGAACGTAGCATCTACCACAGCATTGCTCCAGATACGGGAGCAACGGGAGTTATTGTTGACTGTTGTTTTGGAGGTTTCGTTTGGTGTTTGTTTGTGCAATTGGGTTGGTCAATGCGCTTGGAATAGGAAGCTCGGTTTCCTCCAAGATATAGTAGACTTAGCTTTTGTTTCCGAGTCCTCCCAGGAAGGTGGTCTTGCAACTGTTCGTTTCATTGAGGTGCATTGTCTAGCAAGCAAAACGTCGAATTGCGACTGTTGCCATCGGGCGTCGGGTGCTGAAGCAGATGCGGGGAGCACATCGGTCACAGTCGGACATCAGGATCTGGTCACCCAGTCAGCCCAAACCATGGAAGGATATCATCTCTGTTTCCTGGCCCTCAGGAGCTCCGGTCATGCGACTTTCCTGGGATTGCTGGGGCCTCTGCCTTTGGATGTGTTTCCGAAACTTTGGGGCCCTTCCATCGGTCCATCGGAATGTCTGTAACCAGCTACTGGTAGGGTGCAGCCAGTACCATGACCGGCCTCCATTTGGGTCTGCTTTCCTGGCATAGCTATCGGCTCCGTGTCAGGCAATGCTGCTGGAGATCGCGCATTAGTGAAATATTTCCACAATGCGCAGCACGGTTCTGACGTGGCGTGGCGGCGCAGGGCGCCCTCCGGATGCGACAGCACGAGACTTCCGAGTCCAAGCCGTTTTTGTGTTGTGAGGGGTGAAGGGCACTCGGGCCTCAGGAAAACTGGGGGTAGTGCTTTCGGAACATGTTGGCTGAAGGCTGCCTTCCGCCTCGGATACCTGTGGCCATTTCCTGTGGACAAATTGAGGTCCTACGCCCTCCAGTCGAGCTGGTTTCCAGCGGGCTGTTGCAAGGTGCCCAGAGGGGATTCATAGACCATGGCCAGGAATTTCAGCTGTGTGACCGGCACGTTGCACAGGCCGACGCGCAGACTTACAGGCATCCTAAAGTCCTCCAACGATCGCGATTGTTTTCAGCCTGGCTCATGGGACTCGTGAAGAACACGAACTCATGGATCAGCGAAAAGAAAAATTGCCAGCCGAAGCTTTGCATTCTCCACATGATTTGTGATTTCCCGATATATAGCTGCGTGGAAAGGTAGCTACTCTAAATCATAACTTCTGAGGAAAGATGAAGTCATTTGTCGGTCGTTTCCATTTGCATTACAAGATAGTTCTTATATTGGGAGGATGTTGATTTATATGATCGATTGAATATTGATAGATGAACTGAAAAGAGGTGAAGCTACTTGTTCAAATTTTTAATAAATTATTGTTAGGAATAAACAGGATAAGATCCGAAAAGAGCTGATATAGATAGAATATAGATAATTATATTTAGACCGAAAATTTCGGCTATTTTTTGATGATCGTATTGGTTATGGTGAAATCGGGATTGGATAATTAAACCAATAGGATGAATGAATTTCTTATTTTTTTAAATTTTTTAATTAGAATAACTCTTGATTGCTAAAAGCAAATAAGAAGATAGATATTAAGATATATAGGATTCTCTATCGACAGCTCGCGAAAGAGAGAGCGGCTCCGGAGCTCGTGCACCAAGATCGTGATATGGATCTTTTTATACTTGTTCCGCGACGCTAAAATTAAGGCATTCAAATCTTAAAATTAGATATATATTTTTTTTTCGGCTATGTTTCCCATATTAATATATCGAAATTTTATTTTGAGGCGCACGTTGAATAAATTTCATTCGTAAATTTTCATGGTCGCGAGCAAACTCCTTAAATTTCGATTATCGGGAGTGTATCTCCCTAAAGCTATCAAAATTAGGAAATTTTAATATTATGAGAAATTTCTTATTTAAATTTTCGGAAATCTTAAATTCCGGAATAGAAGGGCTGACGATTAAAAACTTTTCGAAAATGTAAAAATATGAAATAAATCCACAAGGGATCCTCAAAATGAAATGCGTTAAAATATAAGAATTACAGGAGCCAGAGACGTATAGAAAAGAACGACTACTAACTTTATTAGAGAGCGAAATATATTATAGAAGCAAATCGTATTCTATTCGCAAAATTATTTATTTTCTTTGAATGATAATTAATTATCTAAATAAATCATATCAAATATTCAAACAATCGATTTATAGAAATATATCAAATTCTATATATATATATATTTATATTTATTCATTTATAAAATAGAAAATCTATTGCAGAAATATATTTGTTTTCTATAAAGAGAATTTCGTATCTATAGAATAAATAAGAAATTTATTAGAAATCACATATATTCTAAATTGGATTGTAATTTTAAAACATAGAAAATAGAAAGGAGAAATGAATTAGATTCTATAAATAAAATTATAGATAAATAGAGTAGAAAATATATTCTACAATTAATTTTCATTCTAAAAACAGAATTATAAATTAAAAATAGAAGATATATTGTAGAAATA